TAAGCACGACCAAGAAGAAGAGTCCTGCACGGGCAAGGAAGGTGGCCCCACCAGAGAAGAGGACTCACCCAAAGACCTTGGTGGGAAATATCATCCCGATAACCCCGGAAGTCTCATCCGAATAGGACATGGATCTTCGGCTACAAATAGGTAACCTCCGCTCAAGGTAAGGGACTTTTGAGATCTTCAAACTTTTGTTTTGCCTCTTTTGCTCGGATCAGCATTGTTCTCATCTGCACAGCCCGACCACTTACTTTTCGTTCTACTTACTTGAGCATCAGAGTGTCTATCTGGGAAACGACTCCTCATGCCTCTGATCTTCTTTCTTGGTTCTAAATCTTGATGTATAGTTTCATCATTTCACCTCGATTTCACTTATTGGTAGAATTATCTAACTAGGATCTTAGTTTAAGATACCTCAAATGGGAGAGCATCACTACGCACCAAAGGTTAAGTTAATAATAGAAGGTAATTGTGTTGTGCAAAGTAATGTTCATCTACTTCGTATAATATAATGGTGTTGTGTCGTAATCAGCTTGTTGATCAACTTGCAAATGTTTAAGGATTATTTTATCTTATTGATTCACGTTATTAGATAAAATATAGACTAAAAGGAAAAAAAAAAGAAAAGAAAAGACAAATACATAGATTCTCCTTTACCCTCACTGGCTTAACTTAGTTAAAGTTGATCAACTTGAAATAGTATGTTAGCTTGTGCTTCTGGTATCTATTTGCCTTGAATGATTAATACAATATAATTTTTATTTCTTGTATGCATTTGGCTTGACTTCAAGTCAATGACCCCACTCTCACTCTCTCTACATGTTGTGCTACCCGTGTGTGTTTCACGCCTTCTTTGACCCTGTTTGTGTCAAACTTGGTTTGATATTATCTATCATGTCTTTGTCTCGGCAGGTAACATCCTTAGAAGCGACTATATTTCACACAAATTTTTGATTTTTTTTTTCTTATTAAAACATGGTGTTGTATTTGGTGCTTTGAATTCAATTTGCTACGTGCAACTTGATCCCTTCCAATCAAGTTGAGAAAAACCTGGAAAGAAAATTTTATACTGGTATGTGGTGGAAGCAGAGAGTTATGTTAATATTGGATCCGATCCATATATGAACCTTGTTTGCGTTTAATTGTATTATATCTCATTGTATCTTGTGCAATTAGCTATCTTGTATTTTGAAAAGAAATAAAAAAAGAATAAGAATGTGAAAGACAATGAGTTTGAGAAGATGTTGTGTGTAATGTTTTTGAACCTCCCTTGATCCAGATGGTCAGACTATTGAACTCAGAAATCGTTTAGACAATTGGTTCTATTTTATCTAAAACTCAGTTCCTAATTAAAAATCGTTGAATTGATCAGTGATCCATTGATTTGGGCAGTCAAACCGTTAATCCATTGGATTCGTTCAATGATTTTAGCTTTTTATTTTTTTCTTTTTTTATTAAAACAGGCCGTCCATTCCATCAATCCAGAAATCGGTGGTCAGAACGATTCTGATTCCGGGTCAATTTTTAAAACCTTGGTTGCATTTATAATCTCTGCTACTGTAGTTAAATTCTTCTCTTTTGATACCTGTGGATGGAGGTTATAACTCAAGAACCACATAAATTTCCTTGTATTCTTTGAATACTCCATTTTTTTTCTTGATTCCTTTCTATTTAATTTTCTCTATTTTTCCATTGTGTTTGTTCGGATCCTGAATTTGTTTGTTCTGCAACACGTGCTTATTTGATGCAATTTTATCCGTTAATGGAAGAAAACATTTTAATACAGTGGCTTCGGGCCCCAATAATCCTGTCCCTTAGAAGATTCCTGAATTATTTTGGAATTTTGTCAAGACTCAAGTAATCGGCCAGCAAACCCGTGCCTGCACAGAGTCTAGAAGTTGCAGAAATAATTCTCCTTTATATTTTATTACTTTACCAATAGTAGTTATGTCTGAAATTTTAAGAGTAAGTTTATTTGAAAGAATTCCAATGATGTAGGTACCATTGGGTTTGTGCCCAAAGAGTAAATAATTAAAATTAGGAAATTTGTTTAAAATTCACTATGAGTTTTCAATATCTCTTAGACTCATCACAACTTTTCAAAATGTCTAAAACTCACCATCTCAATAAGTTTTTACTTTTTAAAACTTACTTTTCTTTAGTGCACTATTAATGCTTTTTAACAGAAGTGTCCACATCAACATAAATAACAATTTTCATGACCAGATTACCCTTGGATGGCAAGTTAGAGGAAAAAGGGTCTTTTTCAGTTTTCAATTTTCATGTTTTTTTTTTTGTATTTTTAATGTTTTGTTATAGTTTCTATTTTTTTTACATTTTTCTATTTTCTACAATCTGTAAATTTTCCTGTACATTTTGTTATTTATTTGCAATTTCTGTGTTTTTCTATAATTTTTGATGTTTTTTTCTACAATGTTTATTTTTCTGATTTTTTTTTTCAATTTTTATAGTTTCTATAATTTGAAAATAACTTTTTTGTTTGCATTTTCTATAATTTTTTATATTTTTTAAAATTTATGTGTTTTTATATATTTTATATTTGAAAATATTTTTTAATTTTTTCCTATTTTTCATGTCTAATTATTTTAGACATTTTAAAAAGTTGTGATAAGTTTAAGAGAAATAATGAAAATACAGGGTGAGTTTTAAAAATTGGGTCTCTTGGGAATCTTCTGTCTTACGTTCCTTACCGGTCTCTTTCGATGAAGATTTGACAGTCAATTTGATGCTCTGCCAAAGGGGAAAAATGCGGTGAAACATTTATAAATTTCTAAGTGACAACATTGGGCGTGCCAGTTGTGCTTGCTGGGTCCGCTTCTTAATTAATCGGCCCAGAAAAAAGGAAAAAAGGCCTCGCCTCAATAGCCTCATACCCCACCAACAAGGCTTAGGCCTTGAGTTGTATGAGGCTTACGCCTTTGGTCTTTTGGCCTCAAAACGTAAGGCTTAAGCCTTAACTATTCATCATGGTAATGTGAAATATGAAGGCCATAAGAGCAAATATAAATTTAAGAAAAAAACTTGTTTTGTATATATTAGTGTAATGAGCAAATAAATAAACATACAAATAACAAAAAACTTATATATAAAATGTGTAAGAAAATAACTTGCTTTATTATGCATGTTTTATTTTTACCCATTTGCCCATTTATCTCATACTTGGTAATTTATTTGACTATTTCTAAAGCACATGCATCATATAGATGGACATTTTTTGTTAATGCATACTAATGCAAGAAAGGAAATAGGAATGCTTTATTTTTAAAACAATGTTGGTTCATATCCCTAAATTGAAAAGTTTGATTTCTATGGTTTTGTTCTTCTAGGGGAAAAAAAACTACTTTGGTTAGATTCTAATCCAAATTGTAATGTCTCTTTGGGGTACTAATACCCCTATTTTATAATATTTTTAAAAAACTCTTTTTATTAATTATATAATATAAAACTAACCTTGTAAAATTAAGAAAAATTAAAAAAAAAGGTATGCATGGTTCAAAGTGTCGATACTCTACATCCCTTTCAGCATTTTGGGGTGCTTGGATACTTTGAACCATGAATCCATGTCTAATATATCATACAAGTCAATCCATATAAGAATCTAATTTTATGTTTTCATGTCTTTATTGTTTATGGATGATATCATTTTCTTTTTTTGCTCAAGGCTTATGCCTCAAATTGTCTTGAGGCTTACGCCACGCCCCTATGAGACACAACTGCCTCACCTCTGCCTTTAGCCTTTTAAAACCATAGGTAGAATGGGTCAGATCATGACATGTACATGTTCACACACATACACATATATGTATGTATACATGTGTATATTTTTTATAGAAGTATATATGCATGTATGTATGTATGTATAATTTTATAGATGTTTAATTTATATTTTTATCAGTTTTTAGTTTTTATTTATAAAATGTTAAAAGTTAAGATTTAAGGTTAAAAAGGATTTTTTTTTTGCAACAATAGCGGGATAAGGCATATTTGGTGCCTTAAACACATGGATCTTGAAAAGTTGCCCAAAATTAATATAAAGATATGAAAAATGATGATTCACCTTGAGGAAAAGAACAAAGGAGAGAGAGAGGAAGCTGGGTGAACCGTTGGAAGGGCTGCCTGCATACCCTTTGGTGAGGGAGTAAACCATAATTCCTAAAAGGCGGTGTGTGGGTTCCTGTGGCCACGAGCCGAGCTCTTCACGAGCTATTCAAGCTCGGCTCGGCTTGGTTTCAACCGAGCTCAAGCTTGAGCTCGAGCTCGAGCCCAGATTATAAGTTCCATTAATAAATGAGTCAAGCTCGAGCCTAATAGAGCTCGATTCGTGAGGCTCACGAGCCGGCTCGAATATATATATATATATATATATATAATTATATAAAATAATATATAATAAAAATATTATAATTCTTATTTTTTTAAATATCAAATAAAAAATATTTTATATATATAATTTTTTTTTTTAAATTGAGTTTATGAGGTTTTGATTCGAGCTGAGCTCGAGCTCAAGGTTTTAGCTCAAACCGAGCTCAAGCTCGAGCTCGAGCCTCATACTATTTGGCTCGGCTCAGCTCAAATCCACCCCTGGTTACTATTTATAATGTTGTTTTTCCTTTAATAAATCTTTTAAAATGATTTTTAGAAATGAAATTAAGTTAGCACAAGTGGGCAGCTGTCTTCCACTGATCAAATGGCTTGTTATGTTGGACCTTGTATAAGTTTCCTATCTTTCCCCTCTTTTTCCTACCTATTCTTTCGAACCAAACACAGGCCTAACGGTAAAAGGGAGGTTCAAATGTCGGTAATGTATATATCATGATTCAAGAATTATAAGTAGTAATTATTCAAGAAATTTCAATCAAGGGTCCCCACCCCGAATCCGCTGCCTTAAAACAGCAATGGACCAACTGTAACACGGTTTGGAATGGTGACACTTTATAAATTCCAGCGGCTTTGGTTTAAACCTTTGAGCTCAGAAAGTGTTGTTTTAAAGGAAGGTTTTCCAGACATGGTGAAATCTCCTTGCTGTGAGAGAATAGGATTAAAGAAGGGGACATGGACGCTTGAAGAAGATCAGAAGCTCATAGCTTACATCAAGAGATACGGACATTGGAACTGGCTTCAGCTCCCAAAATATGCAGGTACAATTTCATTTTCTTCTGTTTTTCTTGGTTGGGAAATGGGGAAGCGAGAAAAAATCTGAACTTGGGTTTACTCCGACTATCTCATTGATCTTGGATCTCTGCTTGTTCTGGGTAACTGCAACACGAAGAAATCCCTGAAAATTCTCTCAATTGGGTTATTGTGGGTAAATAGTTTTCGTAGATACACCTAAGATATGTGAATTCTGGCAAGTTATAGTTTTAATGTTATACGTTGGTGTTAAATAGTACTTGTTTGCTTGGATTAATTTTCAGGTCTCTCAAGGTGCGGGAAGAGTTGTAGACTTCGATGGATGAATTACCTTCGACCGGACATTAAACGAGGGAATTACAGCAGAGAAGAAGAAGAAGCCATCATCAACTTACATGAAAAGCTTGGGAACAAGTATGGAACAATTGCATCATATCTCATGATAAGATAAATTGCATGTAACGTTTGGATGATCAGGGCTTTGTGTCATGGTTCCGTTTGGGTGCCTGCATTTGCAGTATGAGATTTCAGTATATGGATTATTACTGAAGGCAAAATCAATCTGCCTCATTTACCCGCAGGCAGCCTTAATGGATCAACAATTAATATCCATTTTCATTTTTCTCAATGAACCGTTCAACCTATAAGTTTAATCTGCTCTTTGAATGGTTTTTATTTTCTGACACGACCCTTTACGCAAAAACCTATTGGGTTTGAAGCATGAACAAACAGACTATAAACCATTCAGCTGTAGGGTGAGGTCCCTGAATGAATTTTTATCCTCCAACAAATATAATCGATACTCTATCAAGATGAATTAATTAGCAATGCTAATAAGTGATTAACAATCTGGACTAAAACTAGCTCAAAATTTCTTAAGATCTAATTTTGTTTCCAGATGGACAGCTATCGCAGCGAGATTGCCGGGAAGAACGGACAACGAAATAAAAAACCACTGGCACACCCACCTAAAGAAACGGGTGGGACAAAACCAAATGGAGGCAAAAATTCACCCAGTGGAATTATCCTACTGTGAAGCCAACCAGAAGGCAGCTGAATTAGAAGCCAATTATGCCTCGATCCACAAGAGTCCAAAACGTCCAAAGCTAGAAACCTGCTCTAGCAATGATCGAGTTTCTCCAAAAGAGTCTTGCGAGTACGATTCCGGCCGCAATTCCAATTTTTCATTGGGAATTGGCAAGAACACGTCGAAAGAAGAGAGTGTTGGTTCGCCAAAAGCAGTTGCAGAACTTGAACTTGATGGGAGCTTTTGGGCCAAACAATTTTCAATGGCAGAGTCGTTCTATCAAGAGAGTTTTGGTACGTTTTTTGCTGGTGATGGGTTCATGTTACCAGTTTCTCCAGTGTCCTTGGAAGAAATTGTATATTCATATGGTTCGAATAGAGATGATAGGGTAGAGTTTGAGTTCAATCTTGACGAAGAATGCTTAGTTGGGCTAAGCTAGATGGCCTAAATAATATATAGGTCCATCCACATTAATTTATGCTGTTGGTAGTTTGCAACAATGTAGCAATGAAAAATATGAAAAACCAAAAAAGAATGGGCATGCATGCATGCATGTACCCATGCTAAGGTAAATGTGAGTGTTAAGATTGGATTGTATGTAATCGCCCCTCCCCCGAATCCACCTCAAACTTGATGGTAAATTACTAAAATCCTAGGAATAATCTCATTTTTTAATACTTCAAATTCTCATGATCTTATTACAAAATAATCTAAAATTTTATGCATTTTTAAATGATTGTCGTAGGATGGAGGAATTTCAGAAATTCCTTATCGCCAAGAAGAAGAAGAAGGGTTGTCCTACCCAGAACCCGTTCCATTGCCATTCCCAGTTCCCACCCACTAAGGTTTCTTTTCAGATTATCAATAAACGATTAGAAAGATTCATTTGTCATTATCATCACATATTTTTCTTTTAAATAAGTCATTATCATATCCATGGTAGTGGAATATGACAATACCTTTATTTGCTCGATACATTAATTGTTCCCATATCCACAGGTAGGTCCGGAGAATATGGAAATTAAGGTTTGAAGTCTCTTTTCAGCCTACTTCATTTTTTTTAGGTAGAAGGATGCATTCTGCTGAAGAATACGACACAAACATCACAACTGGCCATAAGATTGATGCGAAATTACGAATCACCAATGAAGAAATTGTTCCATCCATCTGGTCCACGATTTGGATGGAGGAAGGATGGAAGTCGTAAGTGAGGGAAGGGGAGGTCCCATAATTCATGATTTGATATTTATCTACTGTTAATTCTAGAATATATATGATCAGTTTGTCTTAATTTAGGAGCCTACGTATCTACTATCTGCCAACTCATCGTATATGGTTTCTGTCTGGGATGGATGAGAAGGGAAGGAGTTCAAATTTGCTGCGTATCCTCTCACACACATGCCCACTCTTAGATCGTGCGAAACTAACGGGACGGCAGTTAGCTACAAATTTCATCCAAGAATCTAAAACCAAAATATCCCGCTCATAATCTCTTATCTCTCAACCTGTCCTGTATAATCCTGAACCCTCCACCTCCTTTTTCATTCGGAGCTTGGAGAAAAATCTGGGGCCGATGACCGTTCTGGCCGACAAACACCGGAGGTACTCCCCGTCCGACAACGACGGGCTCTGTAGTTTAGTCTCGATATTCTATCAACCTAAGAAGGAAAGTGTTTTTTTTTCTTCTTTTTGATGAGAAGAATTCATGTTTTCTTCTTACTTATCAGTTATCACCGACTCAAGACAAATAATGTTTTTCCACCAAAATTTCACCTAAAGTGTCTTCTAACATCATCACCACAAGTTGGCAGGTCTCACGTTCTTTAAGTAAAACCAAGAATGGAGAATAATGATACCAGTATTTTTACTGGTATATGTAACCACACCTACCAAGCACCATGTGTCTCCTTTTTCTACTGTGTTTTCATCTAATACGCAAAACAGGGCTTTCTTTCTCAGCTCAGCTCTACTTCATTCCTTGAGAAAAAGAGCAAACATGCTATCAGTATCAGAACAAGAACAAAAAGAAACATAGAACAGATGGAATGACATTAAACTTATTCTATGAATTAATATATTCAATGATCTATATGATCACAATCCATATATAGCTCTGTTCTTCTGTTCTTTACATGTGGTATTTACATCTATAAGTATGAATATGATCTTCCCCAGAAAAAAAAAAAATTAAGTAAAACAAAATCGTCCCCCACAAACAGATACAAAAGTTCAAAAACAATACCCTTGATCAATGCGGTTTTCTGTTTCGAGTGTCACCCCTCAGCCAAACAGCAATTCTATTGATTGGAGCTTCATCGAGGTAGCTTCCTGGCCAGAACAAATCGTTCATCGATCCACCAAAATGACGTCCGAATCAGGGAGACGTGGAAGATGAGATTGGCTGTCGAATCTCCTCAAAGGTGGGGTGGCTTCCAGTTCCACCGCTTAAGCTACTATAACTAGACCACATTGCAGTCGACTTCACCTTGCCAAGCAGATATACTTCCATCCCTTCTCCTTCAGACTCCTCTGCATCTTTTGTACCCTCCAACGCCTTCACTACTTACCTCATCGTTGGACGAGCCTGGGGAAGTGCACAGCAATACCAAATGAATCACCCTCAGTTCCCTCTCAACCTCCTCATCGTCGAACCCGGCCACAGCCCTCAGCCGTTCGTCCATCGCTTTCAACAACTCTCCTCGCTCCATTAATCCCCATTCTTGTTGGATTTTCATCTTAGTAGTGATTAAATCCAATGGGGTTTGATTGATCAATCACATGAAAAACATACCTACACGTATTTGGAAAATAGTCTCTTATTAAAATCAGTTTTCAACTTGTCCCACATTGGAAAATTACTAAACTTGTTTTGAAATTTTTAAATAAGAGCTTATTTACACGTGTGCATGCGTGTATGCGGCGCGATGAGGCACTTTAGAGGCGCACTTTTCTTGCATAAGGTGGCTTTGACTTTTGGTGCAAAGTTGAACATTGATGTTCAATGGTCATGATTTAACTGGGTGTGATCAAGGGGTACTATTCAAAGATAACAATCATTAATTGTTAATTACCTTTTTAACAACCACAAGGTTTGAAATTGTGACTGTTCAACATGCCTTTTTTGAATCAGTACCTTCCTCTGCTCCATGACTCTTTAAAATTATTTAAGGAGCGTGAATTAAGCAAATGAACACAAGTTTTCGAAAATCACTCATGTCTCTCTCAGTTCAATATACTATTATTTCACAGAAAGGTTTCTTCGGAAACTTCAACTTTGTTGGTTGCAAATTCTCACCCAAAGCTCTATTGTATCCTGGGAATAGATTTGCCTGTAACCCAACAATAAACTCAATAGAATTGAGGGGGGGGGGGGGAAATAGCATTCTAAAGACGGTGCCTTTAGACACGCCTCAGAGCTTCTCCTACAAGTTTTAGTGACCCCCAATTCCCAACAATTTTAGAACGTTATTTTGCAATGGAGGTGGAAGCAAGCATGACTTCGATCAAGATAATGAACCAAGATCTTTTTTGACTTGACCAATTCGATGGAGAAATTTCAGTCGATGGCAAGACAAGATGATATTCTTTTTGGCCACATTGAAATTGTACTATCTCCTGGATCTGAATCTGCAACTACTTCCTGAATCCATTGATAAAGACTTTGAAAAACTAAATAATGAAAAAGCAAAATGAGAAGATGATTCACTTTTGTGCCGAGGACACATACTGAATACCTTATTAGAGCAGCTCTACAACTTCTACATTGAACTTTCATCTCTAAAAGAAATCTAGAAGGTTTTGGAATTCAAGTACAAGGTGCAAGAAACAAAACGAGAAGATGATTCACTTTTGTGCTGATGACACATACTGAATGCCTTATTAGAGCGGCTCTACAACTTCTACATTGAACTTTCATCTCTAAAAGAAATCTAGAAGGTTTTGGAATTCAAGTACAAGGTGCAAGAAGCAAATACGAACAAATATCTTATTGCAGAATACTTTGACTTCACCATGAATGATCATAAGCCCATACTGGAGCAAGTTCATGTGTTACAATTGATAGTCAATAGAGTTTGATCCCTTGATATCATCATTCCTAAGTCTTTGCAAGTGGGAGCAATAATTGTCAAACTTCCATCATTTTGGAATGATTATAGGAATAAGCTTCTTTCATAAGATAGAAGAACTTACCTTGCAACACATTCGTATTGAAGAAGATTCAACCAAAGGTGGCTTCCCTTCCTCTATGGCCCATAGGCAACCTCAAGAATCAAGACTAGTCTGTGGAGACACCCCACCGCTGCGAACCACTTTGGGAGCCAGGTAGCCTACAGTTCTGACTGTTAGACAGTTTTTGTATGCCCTTAACTTCAACCAGAATGATGTACATTATGAGTTTATTGTAAATGAATAAAGTACATAATTGATTCATGTTCCTTTGGTGTGTTTCTGTATAATACCCTTAAACTGGACACTTAATGAGACTCGTGTTAGTTTAGAATGTTCATAGCCAGTGGGTCAGTCTGGGGAGACATATCCTGATAAGGCTGACACTGATGTGCCACCAAGTCGATTGGGGTGGCCTGTCTCAGCCGCCAGGGTGAGACCCAAGGCACATGCAATGTAGGATTAATTGAATCTTTAAACCGGTCCAGATTTCCAGTATTGCCCTGGACGTTGGAGATTAATGGGCAAAACTATAAAGTTACACCCGACCCCTAGACTCGATTATGATATTGCACTAGGTGTCGGATTTGGCTGCCTTTAATGTACCAATCAGTGAGATCCTTAGCGGGGGTCAAAACTTGGGTATGTTGGGACAGTCTGAGAATTCATCTGAGTGGGTGATCATTGTGACAGGATCAGCCCCTTTGTTGGACAAAGGTAATGATCGGGGATGCACTCTCTCTGATGGAAACCAAGACTACCGGCAGCCGATTTCAAT